ATGACGCCGAGTGTTAACGATCTGGAGCCCTCCGGGAATTTGGACTACAGTTTATGTCTGTTATACTCTGATTAGCCTCACTAAAGCTCACAGCCTTACCTACTTACTCTTTGCCCAAATTCTCAATGCTAAGTGAGGGGCTTTACCATTACATAGGACTTGTAATGTTGTCTTTCCCCGTATTTCGATAACCGCATGGAATCTATTCACATTTTTAGAATCTAAATCAAAAAAGCGGAGTACACATGGAGCTGAGGTATAAGGGAAATACAAAGAGAAGTCTGCTTCCAGAAATCGTTTTTGTTATTCTGCAGCCCCACCTGGTCTCCTATGTCTATGCAATTAGGAGTCTGACTGAGTAGGATGGGACATAGTAGAGTATGGTCAGATATTGGATCCTGTAGCTCTCTAGCTACTGTGGCCTAGTTGTCTGTGAAGCATGGACAGTAATCTGCTTACTTACTATGTACATTATCTACTGTGGTCCTGATGCTCTGCTGGGTCTTCTCCAAAATTTTCTGCCATACCTGTCCTGGGGAATTTGTCCACATTGCTCTCCGTAGAGCAAGAATGTCAGATATCATGTAGGCTATCTTAGTCACACATAAACTACCATATTTAGAGGAGAGTCCTCTGCAACCATCTTGAGTTGGAAGTTACATGCATTTTTATGTATTCTACTTTGCTAGGTCTATAGGGTATGACATAGCATTTTACATGTTATGCAAATTATCATGCCATTAATGCATATAAGAAAATCTGGTTTGGCAATCCAGACCATTCTCTTACCTTCAAAGGTGTTTCTCTATTTGTCTACTGCAATCTGGTTGGTTGGGAATTACAATCTGATTTTGTGCAAAAAGTTCAATCAACCTTAGTTATTGATAAAGAAGGTTTTCTTGTCAACTAAGTACTAACTACATACCCCAGCAAACTGTACATAAATCTATCCAATTCCAGAAGGTACTCCACTCCATATGTAACAGCAGTGAGATCACCTTTGTGGAGAACCTATAATTTCACAATCATATTCTTCATGTTGTGAAAAAACTACAGTCTTACTACTGAGTGCCACTTGTATTTCTTTCCATGTTAGCACTGCACCCAGTCTCTTTACCTGTCATTTTTCCAGTATGTCTATTTCCCATTTTTATTCTTTACTCATCTAACTCAAAGTGTTATGCATCTAAAATCTCATGCAGTGCCTAAAGCTAAACTTGACGAACCTCTGACATCAAAGTATTCACACCCATGAGTGGGTCAATAAGAAAAGTATAGCAGAGACTCACGGTCTTTGCCTATGATACTATAGCTGCATCTTCCTCTGATTTTATATCTTCCAGGAAAACAATTTCTAGTCTGATATCGGGATGTTGTTATATAGTCAGTTCGCAGGCTAGATTCAAGCTTCTGGCTTAAGATATAGTAGTACTATCAGTGGCCAGCCAGCCAAATGTCCTGTACTACTATATTATTGTAACATCCTCGTAGTATTTGGTCTGCCATGGATTATCCTCTGATAGGTACTGGATATTACTTAGACTAGAG